GGGGGGGGGCTTCAGCGGGCAGCGGCCCGCGGAGACTACAACTCCCAGAGTGCGCCGCGACGGAAGCGCGGCGGCTCTGCCCGGCTCTGGGGGCGCGGTGCCTGCCGGGACGCGGAGTCTGACCGCCCCCCGCCGGCGTGCCCCGTGACACGTCTTCCGGCGCGGCGCTGGGCAGTTTCCGGTGGCGTCGGCGGCGGCGGGGATAGTTGCTGTGTCAGGACAGCTCGGCGGCCTCCCGCCATGGTGGGCGAGGGCGGCGCCTACCGGCTCCGCTGCTCCCTCGTGGGGCACGGGCAGGACGTGCGGGGCCTGACCCGCGGCCTGTTCCCCCAGGGCAGTTTCGTGTCCGTCTCCCGGGACCGAACTGCGCGGCTCTGGGCTCCTGACGGGTGAGTGCCGGGCCGCGGCCCTCGTCGGCAGAGGCGCCGGCGCTGGGCAGGCCCGGGCGGCCGCTCCGGAGTGCGCTTCTGCGGGGAGGAAGGGCGCGGAGGTGCGGGCGCTGGGGTCCCGCCGGGCTGGTCCCCGCGGCCGCGTCCCCGTCCCCGTCTCTCGGGACTCCCGGCGGGGCCCGGGGAGGCGGCGGGCTTGAGCGTGGCGGCGGGAGTCTGTTCGCTGGGGGCTAAGGCACTGCCGCTTGCGTGCCTGCTTTTGGGGAAGGGCGCGTTTGCCTAGACAGTTAGCTGTGCGTCGGCATTTTTAGCGTGCTTTGCAGATGCTGATAATGTCTGTAAATCCGGGCGTCTTCTCTCCGGGTGGTATTAACGTCGTTTCCTTCTCTTGGTATTCGGTACCAAAGTAATCCTGCTAAGTAACGATGCTGCATTTGGGACAGTAATGCGGTATGCTTTGAATATTTTTAAAAAACTTTTCTCGCTCTGGCTGACTAGACTTCTTTGAACGTAAAATGGAACATGAACCAAAAACTACGCAGAAAATTTGAGAGACATTGGAAAAGGCAAAAAAAGCCCCACATTATTTTCTTTGATATTCGTGTTGTACAGGGTTTTCTCCTACTGCATTTTTCCTGTTGAATTCACTCAGTGAATTTTTCAGCATACCATTATGACCAGAAGAGGTACTGCTAAGCAGTGTGAATAGGAGATGGTGGAGATGTGGGAAGCCACAGGACGTATCTCCTCACTTGTCTATAGTTTCAAATTGTGAACTGCATTCTGAAGTTGTTAGGCATGGGTTTTCTTTCCACTGCCTTCCAGTGAAACAGAGATAATTGGCAAATTTGCCTGAATGCTCACGTGTGTGTTTCAATTGATCTCTGTAGCTCTGCAACTGAGGGGGAGGAAGACTAATCTCATTAAGTGTGTCATCTTAAATCTGTCATCACAAGGGGAAGAACTTGTTAAATTGCTTAGAAATTTATTGCAGGAAAGGAAGTCATCTTCAAACCCACAATTTTTGAGGGCCCTGTGAGGAATACACAAGTAACTTAAGCAGAGTCATAGCATCAGTAACGATTTTCTCTGCTTTGAAGATTCTAGGATTACAGTAGGCAGGGTTCAGTGGGTAAGCAAACTACTGTATGTTAATTGTGTTATTTAAATTTTACAGGAAGATATGTTACCTTCATTTGTTCTCAGCACCTTCAGTAGAGAAGACGTTTTAGAATTTAGAAGAGTATCATGACTTCCCTACATATTCCAAGCTTCCCAAACATTAAAGTTTGAAGGAGGACAGTGTGATATGATACATTATGGGTTGTTTGTTTGTTTGTTTGTTTTGGGGGGGGGGATAAACACAGAAGGGGGGGGGGGGCCCAAAACAAAAAAACACCACCACAACCCAGACATTTATTGCGTGGGGATAAGTAGCTTTTTCTAGTTAGTGCTGTTACTATTGAGGCTGGATTGTGATGAAGATATAAGGGTGCTGCTAGAATCAGTTATAATCTATGTAATAATTAAACCTCTACAGTGCTCCTAATTAAGAGTGAGTGAATAGATTTGGTAGGCAGTAAACTTTCTTCATTTACGTGCTCTGTTATTTTAGGGTGTATTGGGATACATATTTGAGTCTTGAGATAGCAAAAGATTTCGTAAAGGTAAACCGTAACTACTTCTGATCAAATTGGGCATAGTGTTTACCAATGAGGAGGGAAAACCAAAACTAAGTCCTTCCAGGCCTACCATTACTGAAAAACAAGTGGAAAGCTTTAGATATTGCTTACTGGGTTGAAATACTGGGATATAGTTTTTCTCTTAAGTTTTTCATTCTTTCTAGGTCATCCACAGTATTTACATAGCACAACATAAGCATAGTTATTAATTCAAGAGTTGGAGTATAAAACATCTGTTGTAATTCAGTGCCTCAGATAAGTACTGTTTCTGTCATGACTTTGAACTGATTATCATATATGTTTAGTCTTAACAGGGGTTTTACTGAAATGCACTGTATGAGTGGCCACTCAAATTTTGTATCTTGTGTGTGCATCATACCTCCAAGTGACCTCTATCCTCGTGGGCTGATTGCAACTGGTGGCAATGATCATAATATTTGCATTTTCACAGTTGACAACCCAGCTCCTCTTTATGTCCTTAAGGGTCATAAGAACACAGGTATGTAGTAATTTTACTTTGGAGTTTGTTTCATGAAAGTTAATGTGATTTGTTAGAGGAGAAATTAAGTTGAAGTGACAAAACTCAATTTTGATTTCTTTAGCATTTAATGTAGCAAACTATTTAATTATGGCCTCTGCAAATAGGTTTTTATAATCTCAATTCATGCAGTGACAGTTCATTGCAAGAACTTCCAATTTACACTGATGAATGCTTGAGCTTTTACTGTATATGTGAACACATGGCAATTTACAGAATGATTATAATTTTGCCAAGAGTTGCATTTTTAAGAAGCAGTTAATTTAGTTCTCCATGTATTAAGCTTAGTTTTTATGTCAAAGTTGATAGAAGTAGAAAGAGTCAGCTTCCTAAATAAAAAAAACTTTCACTGCCCATTTTGTTACCTAGATGGGGATCTAATATTAATTGGTGCTTTAAATACATAGTAAAGGCTAAAAGCTCACGGCAGAAAATTCATCTCTCTTTAGTCAGGTCACTGCAACATCTGACATTAAACCAACTTTGTATACCTTTTCTTGAGCTATATGATGAAAGGTTCAGCAATTTTCATATTAGTATACTAAGCTTTTCTTTTCATGAGCTGATCTAGTATTTAGTAGACCTTTGAACAGTCTAATCATGTAATTTTAGGGTGTCAAAAATAAACATTTCAAGGCTTGGAGGTTTTGGGACTTTTTTAAACTGTATTAAAGAATGGTTGTGGAGATGTCATGGTTTAACCCCAGCCAGCAACTAAGCACCACACAGCCGCTCACTCACTCCACCCCACCCAGTGGGATGGGGGAGAGAATTGGAAGGAAAAAGGTAAAACTCATGGGTTAAATTAGGAACAGTTTAATAGAACAGAAAGGAAGAAACTAATAATTATTATAATAACAGTAATAAAATAATAATAGTAAAAAAAGGATTGGAATATACAAAGCAAGTGATGCACAATGCAATTGCTCACCACTTGCCAACTGATGCCCAGTTAGTTCCTGAGAAGCGATCCCCCCCAGGTCAACTCCCCCTAGTTTATATACTGGGCATGATGTTGCATGGTACGGAATACCCCTTTGGCCAGTTTGGGTCAGCTGCCCTGGCTGTGTCTCATCCCAAGTTCTCGTGCCCCTGCAGCCTTCTTGCTGGCTGGCCATGAGAAGCTGAAAAATCCTTGACTTAGTATAAACACTACTTAGCAACAACTGAAAAGGTCAGTGTGTTGCCAACATTCTTCTCATACTGAATCCAAGATGTAACACTATACCAGCTACTAGAAAGAAAATTAACTCTATCCCAGCTGAATCCAGGACAGGAGGCCAGTTTGAAAATACCCTGGACTGCTAAACAGCACCTAAAATTTATTTTTATATTATAAACCTCTTGGCTTTCTCTGAGAAAGAAAATAATGTCACTGTGTAAGGAGGCATGGAATAGTTATGTACTTCATCAGAAACCTGGGATGGATGAGTAGTTAAAATAACATGTGACATGCTCCCTCCAGAGGTGTAAAAAGGGATAAGGTATTCTAGACAAGTTACAGATTCTCCTACAAAGAAGTATTTGTAGCAATTTTTACAGTAATGTTTTACAGTAAAATGTTAAAAAATGTAAAATTACATTAACTGTAAAATCTGTTTTAAAGTGCGGAAAAAGTAGGGCATGACAAGTGACAGGGTAGAATACTGTCCAGTTCTCACTGTGGAGCCACAGAAGCAAGAAATATAAGGCCATACTTTCCTTTTATGAATGACTACATGGACAGGGTACTCTCTGTTTTTGACTTAGCTCTTTTTGTAAACTGATTAGTAAACCATATTAGCACTGTGTGTCTTCAGTTTTATGCCTGACTGTTACTGGAGCATTTGCAGATTATCTTTTTGCTAAATCTTTAAATGTCACCACAGTTTCTTGGTAGTAGTATTTTTTGTATGACATCTTGCTTCTTGAGGACATAAATTAATACATGTTGATGAAATCTTGGCTTTCTCAGTAATCTTAAAACTAAACCTTTGCATTAATTCTGTGTCTTGACTAGTTATCTAACCTGCTTGTCAACATACTCTAGTCTGATGAGAAGAGATCTGGTACTAAGGGAAACTTAAAAATATGAATGGCAAAAATACGTGAAATTTTGTAATCTAAAGTAAAGAGATTTTTAAGCAGCTCATTTCTAGGTTGCAGTGCAACTATAGTGCCACTTAATTCTTCCCCAACTCCTCAACACTAAATATGCTACTAATACCAAGGAAATCTTAAATAAATCTCTTTAAATTGCTGGCATAAGATTGGTGGCAATGCAGGAAACTTGTCAGTGCTGATTTGAACGTTCATTGCAGTTTGCAGCCTTTCATCTGGGAAGTTTGGCACATTATTAAGTGGATCATGGGATACAACAGCCAAGGTCTGGTTGAATGACAGATGTATGATGACATTACAGGTATGAAGTACCTCTATGTGAATATAAAATAGGGACTCTGAATTTGATTCTGACAAGTCTAACAATGTTGGTTTTTTGCAGGGTCACACAGCTGCAATATGGGCAGTGAAAATACTTCCTGAACAGGGATTAATGCTGACTGGTTCAGCTGACAAAACTATTAAACTGTGGAAGGCAGGCAGATGTGAAAGAACATTCACTGGTAAATGTTGCTGCAGTTGGTAATTCCGTCAGGGTCATTTAAAAAGAAAAAAGATTAAACCCCCACAAAACCATAGATAAATTGAACCATTTTTAGGCCATATTTTTAAAGTTTCTCAAGTTGTATGCCCATAAGTCGCATCACTTTTAAAAGAATTAGATTTTTTTTTGCAGAATAATGAGCAATTCACTGCTTTTTATTTTTTTTAAACTGCTTCCATAATGAAGATTGGTCGCCAGGATTTAGATGTGAGCTAACTAGAAATGGTATACTGCTGCTAGTGGAATGAAAAGCCACATTAAGTTTTCCTTTCTTTTGTAAAGGACATGAAGATTGTGTGAGAGGTTTAGCTATTCTCAGTGAAATGGAATTCCTTTCCTGTGCTAATGATGCTAGTGTTCGAAGATGGCAGATCTCTGGTGAATGTCTGCAGGTGTATTATGGACATACAAATTATATATACAGCATCTCTGTCTTCCCTCATTGTAAAGGTAAGATTACTTTTGTGACTATTACCCAACGTTCTTCCAAAATTAAATTACAAGGTAGGCATTCTGTAGTTCTGTGGAGCTGCCACAACTAAAGAACTCGGGTATCATTTAATTTACTACTTCCCTTTAGTGTAAATAGTTAAAAAAAATATTGTGATTGACTGTAAATCACACCTCCAGCAGAATTGCTCTGACTGTAGGTAAGATGAAAGGTCCTGGGTTAGGCCTAATTGTAAGGCTTAACTGTGAAGCTTTGGTGAAGCGATAGGCAAAACTATCATTTAGGTTGCCAGCTGTATTTTAGCACAGTTGCAGAGTACTGAAATGGTAATGCATGGCTTATCAGTCTGAGATAATGTAAATTTAGGTACTTCCACAGGAAATTTTCAAAGTACATTATAAATAGTTTAGGTTAAGAATTTTATGTGTGTGGCTTAATTGCATTTGTTTTCAGAGTTAGAGGTTTAAAGATTCAGAACTAGCTATTGCAGACAGTTGCAGAAGAAATTTCAAGTCAGTGACCTTTGTGTGGTGTATGGGACACTTGCGTGTTTGTTCAACAGGTAAAGTGCACGTATATTAGCGTTGTGGTTTAACCCCAGTCAGCAACTAAGCACCACACAGCAGCTCGCTCACTACCTGCCCCCGGTGGGAAGGGGGAGAGAATCAGAAGGGTGAAAGTGAGAAAATTTGTGCTTTGAGATAAAGGCAGTTGAATAGTTAAAGCAAAAACTGCACACGCAAGCAAAGCGAAACAAGGAATTTATTCACCACTTCCCATCATCAGGCAGGTGTTCAGCCATGGCCAGGAAAGCAGGGCTCCATCACACGTAACAGTTACTTGGGAAGACAAATGCCCAGACAAACTCCAAACATCCCCCTCTTCCTTCTTCCCCCAGCCTTTTATATGCCGAGTGTGACATAATAGTGTGTGGAATATCCCTTTGGTTAGCTGGGGTCAGCTGTCCCAGCTGTGTCCCCTCCCAACTTCTTGTGCACCCCCAGCCTACTCACTGGTGGGGTGGGGTGAGAAGCAGAAAAGGCCTCGACTCTGTGTAAGCACTGCTCAGCAGTAGCGAAAACATCCCTGTGTTACCAATGCTTTTTCCTACACAAATGCAAAACATAGCCTCATACTAGCTACTATGAAGAAAATTAACTCTATCCCAGCCAAACCCAGCACAATTAGTGTATGTCATAAATCTCTTATGCCTTAAAATTTCTCATTGAGGAGTTTATAGGCTTTTGAGAGTGCTTAATGCATGTTTCCTGAAAAAGCAGGCCTACCTTGCAAAAATCTGAATTTAAAACAAATGTGAAACTGTGCAAGTACATTGTAAGCTAAACCAGTGGTGGTTACAAAATTGTTCAAAGTTCTTTTTTTAAACTCTTGAAAGGAGGAAGGAATCGTTTGTTTGTCTTGAGCATAATTTCATTCCCTGTCTGGCTGTTTAGTCTGCAATTTATGCACTTTATTTTTTTTTTTTTTTGAGAAGACATGTGGTGGCTTTCTTTTAGCTCTCTTCTTGCAATTGAGAGATGTATTAAATTGTAGAAAGGTTCTTTCACTGTTCTAATTTTTAGGTACCCAGTTGCAGAATGGTATCCAGTATTACAGTACACTAAAAATATACATTAGAAGTTTTAATTTTTATTTTTTTTGTCTTTTCAGATTTTGTAACTACTGGAGAGGATAGATCTCTCAGAATCTGGAAACAAGGGGAATGTGCTCAAACAATCAGACTCCCAGCTCAGTCTGTATGGTGCTGCTGTGTGTTAGACAATGGTGACATCGTAGTTGGTGCAAGGTATCCAGGTTTTACTCTTAGCATATTTTTGGATCTAAATCTGCAAACCCTGGACGAGATTGAAAGCATAAGTTTGGATATCAGTTTCATCTAAATTTAAAAATACAGCCATCAAAGTGTGTGTGTGATTAAATTTAAATGTCATTGTTACGTGAATCACAGAGGTAGAGTGAGTTCTTTGTGAATGTGGTAAACCATGAATAGACTGAGAATGGGCTTTTAACTACTGTATAAAGAACCCTTTTGATAGGCGTATCCTACCTCGATTTTAAAATTATACTACAGATGGGGTTAACTGCTTAAATCCTTCTCTGGGTGTTTTTAGCATGAGAGCTAATTCCTTTCATAAAAATAATTGGGATGGGTTGTTAGAAATAAAGATGTTTTCTCATGACATAGAAGTCACCACTGGAATGTATGTAATCATTTTGACATTTAAAATAGTATTTGCTTGGATTTTTTCTCTCCATTCAGTGATGGAATTATAAGAGTGTTTACAGAGTCTTTAGAACGCACAGCAAGTGCTGAGGAGATTCAGGCTTTTGAAAATGAGCTTTCCCAAGCATCCATTGACCCTAAAACTGGTGACTTAGGAGATATTAACACTGATGAACTTCCTGGAAGAGAACATCTCAAGGATCCTGGTAAGTTACTGTACTTTTGTCATGTTAGAGAAGCCTCCAAATCTTGATTCTGAGGTACTGAAACTTTCCATAGTTTCGAAAATTAAGGCTTTGATCAATTTCAATAGAGTTGCTGAAGAAAACAGCTTGATTTTGCTCTACTATCCTCTCATTGATTCTTTTGGAGGCAAGACTCAATAAGTTTAAAAAAATATATATATTTGTAGACTAAAATGGTAAAAAATATTTCTCTTACGAGATAATTGAGAAGAAGGTGGAATTCAGGCTGCTGCTGTTCAAGATGTTTTGGATCTGTTACAGTAGCTGTGCCAATAGTATATAAGACAGTTATGTAATCTGCAAAAGGGCTACTGAATGTGGAATTTCTTTCCTAAAAGAAAAGTAGATGCAAAATTTCTGCTTTAGCTTTCGGCATGAAAAATAGTTTGTCTTGACTGACTCAGTTCACGCTTTCCAGGTACTTGGGAGATTACTGAGAATACAGCGGAAGCAGTGGTAGTTAAGATTACTCTTAAATAGACAAATAGTTTTTCCCAAGGCGAAGTAACCAGTGACCTCAGCACTTGGCTCTGATCAGAAAGTGGCATAAATCTTAAAATCATATGAAGCTTTCCATCTTGTTAGACCATGGGAGAATATCACCCTTCTTGATTGTCATCTCCCTGGGAAAATGGTAAATTTTTGAAATATTTAAGGATGCTTTTGCAACTTAGTCTGGTGGCAGATACTATTACCGTAAAATGCTATTGTCAAGATTTCTGCTATTCTTGTTGCAACATGTAGTAGCTAGTTATTTCCTGTGCTGTTGTCCTGGTTTCAGCTGGGATAGAGTTAATTTTCTTCCTAGTAGCTGGTATAGTGTTATGTTTTGGATATAGTTTAGGAAGAATGTTGATAACACGCTGATGTATTCAGTTGTTGCTGAGTAGCGTTTATACTAAGTCAAGGAGTTTTCAGCTTCTCATGCCCAGCCAGCAAGAAGGCCAAAGGGATATTGCCTTAGGCATGGGATGGGGAGAGCTGGCTGGCACGGATCACTGCTTGGGAACTAACTGGGCATCAGTTGGCAAGTGGTGAGCAATTGCATTGTGCATCACTTGCTTTGTATGTTCCAATCTTTTTATTATTGTTGTAATTTTATTGTTGTTATTATCATTATAATTTTCTTCCTTTCTGTCCTATGAAACTGTTCTTATCTCAACCCACAAGCTTTACTTTTTTTCCCCAATTCTCTCCCCATCCCACTGGATGGGGGGCGGGGAGTGAGTGGCTGCATGGTGCTTAGTTACCAGCTGGGGTTAAACCATGACAGCTGTGACTTTAAATGTTGGTGAACTATCTTTTCATCTTTAAATTTGAGGGCTATTTGAAGACTTTTTTCTCTCCTAAAGCAAATCGTATTCTTGAATTTGTTCAAACTCTTAAACACTCTTGTCTACAGGAACAAGGGATGGACAGACACGGCTTATTAAAGATAATGGGAAAATAGAAGCATATCAGTGGAGTGTTAGTGAAGGAAGATGGATCAAGATTGGTGATGTTGTTGGTTCTTCTGGAGCCACACAACAAACATCTGGAAAGGTTTTATTTGAAGGAAAGGTATATGCAAACTTAAACTGATTTTATTCCTTCCTAAGTAAAATGCTTAATTTCCCATTAAAAATTTATTCCAGTCTTTGCTTAGATAAAATATAATTTAGAAAGTAGGTATTTGTTGGTACTTTTTTGTTATCTTTGATCTATTAAAACTCAGGGGTAGAAGTATAGATAAGTACTACTTGCTTTATTACTTTTGAACCACATTTTGTAAATTGAGTAAGCCAACGGAGACAAATTATTTTGGAGACAGGTAAACTATTAGTAGAGAAACAATCAAGTTCTGTAGTATTTATTGCTAATACCTTGAAAAGTTACTTTTAACTTCCTTTCCAAAGGAAGTGAACCGTACATTTTATAATGCAAGGCTTACCTAAAATGTTAGGTACCAGGCTTTCTGTACCCGTTTTCTATAGTAACTTTTGAGCCTAAAGACAGATAAGGTGAAAAATGCTTCCTTTACTGACATATACATAGAAAAGTCTCTGTCTAGTGCCACCACAGAATGCATGCCTTTGAGATACTGATTTTATCTCTCATGTGGTTTAAAGAAACCCAGGAATTTGTTGTTTTCTAGTATTAGAGGTGTGCTTTTAAGACTGAAGTTTTTTTCAGGTATCTGACTGCCCTATAGCTTTGCAGGCAGCCAGAGCTGTCCATGAGAGTTACCTGATGCATTTGTGTATCTGCACACGCGTTATCATGGTATGTTGTTCTACCCTGCTCTTCTTGAGGCAGAGAATTCTGGAAAGCACAGGGTATGGTTTAAGTATGGTGTTTTGTTTTTTTCTTGCAGCCTGTGTAGGAGAGTATTATTGATACAATCTGCAAGTAGCAGTATCAAATTTTGTAAGCTTAGCCCTGGGCCATTATTATTCTGCATTTGGTACATCCTTATGTAAAAAGTGCTGACAAACTTCCAATCTGTTTTTATTTTTATTCTGCTTAAAGGAGTATGACTATGTTTTCACTATTGATGTAAATGAAAGTGGGCCTTCCTACAAACTGCCATATAACATCACTGATGATCCTTGGCTGACTGCATACAACTTCCTGCAAAAGAATGACCTAAATCCTATGTTTCTGGATCAGGTGGCCAAGTTTATTATGGACAACACTAAGGGGCAAACACTGTTGAGTACAAGTGCTCAATTTTCAGATCCATTTACAGGTAATAATTTTAAACTTAAATGATGACATCAGTCACTCCTCCCAGTTTTGTGTCATCAGCAAACTCTCTGAGGGTGCACTCTGACCCATCTTCCAGATCATGAAGATGTTGAACAGGACTGGATGCTGTACTGACCCCTGGGCTACACCGCCAATGACTGGCCTCCAACTAGATGTTGTGCCACTGATCACCACCCTCTGGGCCTGGCTGTTCAGTCAGTTTTCAGTCCACCTCAGTCTCTGCTCAGGCAGATTTCAGTGTTGTAGCTCCTGCACTTCTTGTACAGGGTTTTCAGGTCCTCAAATGATTGAGGGCAAGGCACAGATAGATCTGACAAGAAAAACAGGAAAACTTGACAAATTTCTGAAGTATTTGTCAGAACAAATCTTCAACAAAATTTTAATCAAGACAGCTGTATTTTTCAGTCTAGTCTTTTTTTTTCCAGTGGAAGAAAAATCCACTTTTCATATTACTCTAAGAGGTGGCCAGGTGCTGTTCAGGCACTTAATAAAATACAAAAATTTAGCTAGAGAATGAACTGTAACTGAGTGAAATTATAAAGAACCCTTTTTCAGGCAGAAAATGGAACTAGAACAAGTTAATTACTCATAAGCTGAACCATGTTTATCAATTACATCCTGCTTATCACATTTACAAAATAAACTACTCTTCAACTAGTTTCACAAAGATGAAGTTAGGAATAAAATGTCATTAAAATAATTGAGCTAAATCTTTTTCTTGCAATGAACTAGAAGTGAGAATAGAGGCTAATCAGGTTCAGATGCAACTCATGGAGCTGCAGTAATGTGAATTGACGCACATACTTTTGATTTGGCTGTGTCCGCATATGTAATGCGTATGGCCCAGAAAACAAATTTCTGACCTCAGATAATTAGGAAGAATTTGTTGAGCATCAGGGGACTTTTGTGTGGATAGGATCAGATTTCTTACAACAGCACAATAAGATGTATTTGTTGTTTGGCTTTATTTTTGAGCTGCTTCTGTCTGAAAAGTATTGACATTTTAATAACATCAAGCTGTGTATAGTAGTCATTGCTTTTCTTGCTGTTTCACTAGGTGCTGGACGTTATGTTCCAGGCTCTTCGTCTGGATCAAGTATGATGCCTGCAGCAGATCCATTTACAGGTAATGTAAAATCCATAATCTGTCTTGCTAGTATTTAAGATGTATTCAATGATCAGTTGCATTCAGTGTTCGGCTCTAGACTACTGTTTCTTGCAGTTCTCTATGTGGGACAGACTGGTAAGGTGGACTCTGCTACTGTCAAAGCATGCCCAAGTCTGTTCAGTAGAGAGCACTATGCTGTCTGGTCTGCCTCATGTCACCCTCTCTTCTGCAGCAGAGGAGTAAGGTCTTAAACCTTATGTTCTGTCAAACTCTCATACACATGGCCAACACAGGAATGGGTATATTCATAAAGTAGTTTTCTTTTCTTCCTTATTCCTTTTTTCTTATTATGTGCCCTTTATTGGTACCTTCCACCCTGAATTTTAGATTCTAAAAATCCCTGGCATAGCTAGTTTAAAATCCTCATCAGCAGTTTAGCAAGCGTGTTTGCAAAGACATTACAGCCCTGCTTTGTCACTTATCCCATCCCTGAACAGTAGCTCTTGCTCCCTCAAAGAGGGTGCTGTAGTCATTGATGCCAAAGTCCTGCCTGCAAAACCTGCCATGCAGCAAATTGCTGACCCTGTTGATGAGTCTGTTTCTACTCAAGTGTTTTTGCTTTGCTGACAGCATCAAAGAAACTCCACCTGGGCCCTTCACCCTTGCCCCCAGAGCTCTCTAATCATTCTTGATATTGCCAAGGAAGTCCTGGAGAGTATAATTGATGCCCATGTGGAAGAGTAGTGGGGTAATAGTCTGAGGGCCAGGCAAGCCTTGGCAGTCTCTCTGCAGTATCCTGGTCCCCAGCAGACACCAACCTCCCAAGATACTGGGTCATGTTAGTAGATGGATGCCTCTATACCCTGCAGGAGGAAGCCTCCCACCACTGCTGCTCGCCTTTCCCCTTTTTGCGGAAGCGACGTGCAGTCTCAGCTGGCTCTGATGCATCTCCTGTTGGATGATTGTCCTTACCAGTGCCAGGGCACTATGCCTGTTCTGCAGTTGCAGATCTATAGGTGGAGCAGAAGCCTTTGTGCTGCTGCCAAAAGCTGCAGCCTTCAGCCTTCCCCATCTTGGCAGTCTTTCTCCATTCCTATTCTACTGTGGTCTCCAGCTGTCTCTCCTCCCTTGCTTCGTATGGCTAAGGCTGTGGTCTCTGCAAATGCAAAGATCCTGCAGTTCCTTCATGTGAGGCCTCAGTGCCACAAACAGAGTCCACCTCCCACAGGAGAGGCCAGGCCTGGGCAGTGCTGCCCTCCCCGATGCTTGTCATGGATAAAGTATCTGCTGGCTGAGGGCCTTTGCACCAGCGGGTGCCAGAGACCATGCCAGCATGCCTCCCAGCTGTGGGTCACTTCGCTTGCGAGTGCCGTCATTGCCACCAGTAGTGCCCTCACACATAGGCATAGATGTAATCCTTAAATTTCAGGAAGTGTTGAAGACTTTTCAATTCTCTTAGTGCAAAATAACACCTTTAATAGTGGTGTTTGAAAACTAGTAACTAAATACAGATATATATTACTTCTTTACCAGTGGTGGTGTTTAAAAAGCCTGATGTCTCCGTTCAGGTGCTGGTCGCTATGTTCCTGGTTCAGCATCAAATGCAGTAGCTCCAGTGGGTGGAGTTGATCCATATACAGGTAAGAGATGATGCCTGCCAATGAAAAGCATCCCTGATTTTTTTGCTTCATTTTTTCCTTTGAGATGGATTCTATATTGATGCAAATTTATACTTAATTAAAAATAATGAGCAGATTGAAGCTTCTTATACTCAAAACTATTCAGAAAATAGGGATAACAGAGCCTTCTTTTACATACAGGAATCATGCACAGAAGCTTTAAAATATATGATAGTAATCTGGTTTTGATCAACAACGTAACTAGTAGGAAACCAAAAATCCTCTCAAACAAATGGATATATGTAGTTAACAGAAATCGCACAATATCAGCCACTAACTCACCTGTGATTCTAGGAAGTCATTATAGGACATGATTAAAGCTTCTCATTACTCTTTCTGAAGAGATTTCAGGCTACTATTGCATGTGACATAACTTGGTCATATCTGCAAATCTTCCAATGTATAAAAACTTTGTCTATTCATTATGAAAATAATCAAAAGATAAGATTTCCGGGGCAGGAGGGATCTTTGTTCTAAAATGACCCTTGTCATTTTCATGTCTTAACTGCAATACCCATTCCTATGAATGACTATATTTAGTTCATGTAATTCAGAAATCACTGTTAATAATTTACACTTGTAAATTTTTACGTGGGGAGAACAAGGTATTGCTTTAAGCTTTAACCCTTGAATGTAAAAATAATGTAAGGAATGACAGCTATTTGCATAAGCATTCAATTTTTTTAAAGATCCTTTTCTAAGACATGTCCAGCAGGAGAGACTTACTGGTGGGATATTGTTCTATGTCAGACACTTTGGTACACTGTTGAACTTTTCGTATTTCCTTTATGTAGGAATGGGTGCCTACCAATCAGCTGCGGCTAAAGTTGAAAATATTTATTTTCCAAAGAAGGATGCTGTCACCTTTGACCAGGCCAATCCTATGCAGATACTGGGTCAGTGTTTTAATTTCAAGGATGGTTTTATTTTTCATCTGTTTGAAGTAACTTCGCTTTTCATCTTTTCAGAAAGCTAAGTGATTTCCCATAGCTTTCCTACTGTTTCTTAGTTTTGACCTTTTAAAATTCCATTCGTCGTTTTAATGGTGCATGTATTTGAAGGCTTAGAAGTATGAGTAAATTTCACAAGAACTTTAATACAGGATATCAATTCTTTTTTTCCCCTCAGCTTCTATCTGCTGTTGTTTGGCATCTTTTTTATCAAGCTGGTACATTTGAATACTGTACTTTTTTTTTTTCACGCAGCTGCTGGGTATGCCAGTCATGTACAATCCCTTTTTGATTTTACTCATGAAAGTTTTAGTTCACCAAATAGCCATACAATGTAATCTATGAAGTTTTAAGGTAAGGCATTGTGGTGGGTTGACCCTGGCTGGATGCCAGGTGCCCACCAAAGCTGCTCTATCACTCCCCTCCTCAACTGCACAGGGGAGAGAAAATATAACAAAAGGCTTGTGGCTTGAGATAAAGACAGGGAGAGATCACTCAACCAATTACTGTCATGGGCAAAACAGACTCTACTTAGGGAAAATTAACTTAATTTATTGCCAATCAAACCAGAGTATGGTAGTGAGAAATAAAAACAAATCTTAAAAAACCTTTCCCCCACCCCTCCCTCCTTCCTGGGCATAGCTTCACTCCCAAATTCTCTACCTACATCCCGTCTTCCCCCTGCCCTGCCCCACCCCCAGCAGCACAGGCAGATGGGGAATGGAGGTTGTGGTCAGTTCATCACATGTTATTTCTGCTGCTCCTTCCTCCTCAGGGGGAGGACTCCTCACACTCTTCCCCTGCTCCAGTGTGGGGTCCCTCCCATGGGAGACAGTCCTCCACGAACTTCTCCAGCGTGGGTCCTTCCCATGGGCTGCAGTCCTTCAGGCACAGACTGCTCCAGTGTGGGTCCACCGTGGGGTGACAAATCCTGCCAGCAAACCTGCTCCAACATGGGCTCCTCTCTCCATGGGTCCACAGGTTCTGCCAGGAGCCTGCTCCAGCACCTTTTTTCCACAGGGTCACAGCCTCCTTCGGCCATCCACCTGCTCTGGTGTGGGATCCTCCATGGGCTGCAGGGGGACAGCCTGCCTCACCATGGTCTTCACCAGGGGCTGCAGGGGAATCTCTGCTCTGGCACCTGGAGCACCTCCTCTGCCCCATCCTTCTTCACTGACGTTGGTGTCTGCAGGATTGTTTCTCTTGCGTGTTCTCACTCTGCAGTTTCTGTGCCCCAGCAACTTTTTTTCCCTTCTTAAATAGGTTATCCCACAGGTGCTAATCACCATTGCTGATGGGCTCAGCCTTGGCCAGCAGCGGGTCCATCTTGGAGCCAGCTGGCATTGGCTCTGTCGGACATAGGGGAAGCTTCTAACAGCCGCTCACAGAAGCCACCCCTGTAGCCCCACCCGCTACCAAAACCTGGCCACACAAACCCAATATATTCCACCCCTAATTGCATTCTGCTGTTTCACAGGTTGCAATGGTCACTTCTATATTTAGAAAGAACATTCTGCATAACAGAAAAAGAAAACAGTGTACAATATTTAGTAATTGTACAGATCTTTAGTAATGTTATTATTGGCTTGTTTTCCCTCTCTTTTCCTGTGCTTTATTCCTATTCTACTATCTCTTCCTCTGTATTTTCTGTTCCACAGAATCTCTACTCTATTTGTCACCACTTTATTTCAGTGTGTTTCTGTAGAGTGCCTTAGTTCATTTAAGGGTTTTGTAAAACTAGTTTATATTCACAATGTACCTGCCTTGAAGATCTCCAAATTAAAATTCTCTTGCTTCCTTCCCTCCCCTTTCTATACAGAGCTTGGAGATGTATTTGTCTAGATAGTGTGATAACGAAACTTAAAACAAGAGATTCTGCTTTTTAGAAAAAGTATACATTCACCTTTATCCTATTTCTTGAAGAAAGCAAGCTCTTGGCCTTAGTCATGGAATTGTCCTTCAAACAGGGTTCATTTACCTGGTGTGCAAGCCAGTAACACACAGAGTGGAGATATTTTCAAATTAATTTCATTGATGCACATGAATGGGTGCCTGTCTCAAGACAGCACACCTTTATCTCAAAAATTCCCACATTTATATACTTAAGTAATACATATTCATTATTATTTCACTTAATGATTGTTTTTTTCTTCTTCACCTCTCGTGTAAATTAGTGTGCAGACTCTGTCTTCTTCCGTCATTGTCATCTTTTGAGTAGTTGGTCTCATTTGAGTAGGTGGTCAATGAGTTGGTGGTCACAATGTCTCCCTGGTAAAAGGAATTACCTTTTACCTACTTCTTCCCTAATCTTGGCAGTTCCAAGTGGTTATTTGAGGTTTATTGACCAGACCACAATCCATTACCTTTTCTGACATAAACATAAAGCTCCATTTTCTAATAGTTAGTTCCTAAATGCTAAATCATGTCTAGGTATTGTTTACCTATTTAAAATATTAACTGATGGGGGCTGTATACAGGACTTCAGCAGTTCCCTGGTTATTTCAATCATATTATACATATTCATTGATAATAGAATCATAGAATGGTCTAGGTTGGAAGGGACCTTCAAAGGTCACCTGGTCCAACGGACCTCCTTCACTAGGTGAGCTGCTGAAAGCCTTATCCAACCTGACCTCAAACACTTCAGGGAGGGGGCATCCACAGCTTCTCTGGGCAACCTGTTCCTGTGTCTCTTTTGGTTTAAAACCATTACTCCTTGTCCTGTCACTACAGGCCCTGGTAAAAAGTTACCCTCCCATCCTTCTTGTAAGCCCCCTTTATATGTTGAAAGGCCGCAACAAGGTCTCCCTGAAGCCTTCTCTTCTCTGGGCTGAATAACCCCAACTCACTCAGGCTTTCCTCATAGGAGAGGTGTTCCAGTTCTCTGATCAGTTCTGTGGCTCTCCTCTGGACCCACTCCAACAGGTCCATATCTGTGTTGTGCTGGGGACCCCAGATGGGGGATGAGGTACTCCAGGTGGGGTCTCACAAGAACGGAGAATCACCTCCCTCAACCCGCTGGCCACACTTCTTTTTATGCAGCTCAGGATACAGTTGGCTTTCTGGGCTCATGTCCAATTGCTGGCTCATGTCCAATTTTTAGCCCACCAGTATCACGTCCCAGTTTCTCAGGATGATGACTCAGGTTTGCTGAGTCCCAGCTCAGGATTAAGGTGAAACGACACCAGGGATCCTTTAACTCACAAAACTCAACTTTTATTCACTCACAACAAGAATTGGCGTGCTCACCACCAAAATTGGTATGCTCACAACAAAATTTGGCATGAAACCATGTGAGTAAACTGTGTAACATGTGCTAACCATACATCACCAAACATATACTACAGGCCTTGCTTATTTGGGGATCAGTTCAGGGAAGACAAGGGGATCCCTCCCATTGAGTCACAAGGTTCAGAGCGGATCCCCTTGGTTTCTAGACTGCCTCTCAGAGAGGAGCCCAGGGGCGGCTGGATTCAGTCCTAGTCCCAGACTTGGTCAAAGGTTTTATGTCTAAAGGGATAAGGTGTAGGGATTACGGAGACAAAGAGAAAGATTTCACCAGTCCTGGGTCCAGTGTTAGTTCAGTCAGCCAAGGGGTCCAGTCAGCCGAGGGCTCCGGCTCCAGTGGGTGCATGCATATGGGGCTTCAGTCTCTGCCCTTTTATCATCCTTGCCCCTCCTTCAGGCAGGCACTCGAACTCATTCGGCTAATTAGGTGTCATGTGCGGTTTGTGCTTCCAGAACCTTCGGGAAATGGATCCGTGGGCTTGAGGGTTGTTTAGGGAGTAACTTCTTCCCTGCAGGATTGTGACCGTTGTTTGATCTTTGGCCATGCATGGTGAGCTGCCCTGCTCAGCATTATCAGAACAGGGAGCTAGCCTCTGCTACGCCTTCCCCATCCTGTGCTGATCCTTCCCCATCCTGTGCTGATCGGTGCTGATGCTTTCTTTTCACCTGGGGCTCCTTGCTATGCAGTGTTCATTGTTATGCAGAGTTCGTAGTTAGGCATAACTTGCCCCACCACAATGTTTGAGACATTAACTCTTTCAGTCTCTCACAACCAGTATCCCCAAGTCCTTCTCTTCAGGGCTGCTCTCAATCCATTCATTGTCCACTTGGTACTGATACTGGGTGTTGCCCAAACCCAGGTGGAGGACCCTTGCACTTGGCCTTGTTGAACTTCATGAGTTTCACACAAGTCTACTTTTCAAGCCTGTTAGGGTCTCTCTGGGGCCTTCTGTCTGCAGTATTGCACTTCTGTGTATTGCTTAGGTTTCATTTTTTGTTGAAAAACATCAATCTTCAGTCAGCCTCATCATGTTTCCCTGAATTTTCTTGTGCTCTGGTATTTGTTCAGGGAGAAAATAAGGGATTCACAAACTAGAATTTTTTTTTTTTCAGGAGGTTGTCACTAGTAAATAGATTTAGCCTCCTCTTAGTTTTGCACAGATTTTACAGTAAAATTTTGTCCAGAACTTCCTAGGAGGGAGAATGGCAAGACTGGCTTTCTTTCTCCTATGTTATAGCAAAACAGAGACTTTTAGTCTTAAAAACATACAGCATCAGTTTGTATTTGTCCAGTATTCTTGAAGGATGACTGTATTAACCACAGGCTTAGTGGGTTGTTTGGTTTTTTGAAGCTTAGAATCTGAAAACTAGGTTTACTGAGTTTTCTGCAGTTTTGTAACAGTACATGGTTAAATACACTTGTAAATATTATGGCCGGACTGGGATTTAATAGCTGTTTGGGTTTTTTTTTTGTGGGTTTTTTTTTCATAAGAGGCCCACATTTGATTTTTGAGTGTACTATAAAACTCATAAGGGTGTACTAATGTAATTCTGCCTGCTTGTGTGTTAATTGCCATGGCCCTCATCAGTTCTGGAAGATCCATGATTGGCAGGTGCTTAATGCTAGCTCCATTTGAAGCAAATTCGGTAATAATTTTTCCAATACTTTGATTTTTTAAATTACATTGAAATTTGAATATAGGATGTGGTGCAATCATATTTTGCTTATGGCACTTAAATAAGTAAAAATACAAAACCTGGGATCACACTAAGAACATACAGTTTCTTTATTGTTTCTATTACCTAATAATAGAAAAGAGCAAAAAAGGAATCATATTTCAGTTATGGAAACTAATGGTCTTGTGATTATTTTCTGCATTTTTTCCTGTATGTAGGCTAACATGATGTGAATTCTGAATTTTTGTGTTGCAGTATTAGAGGGGGCTTAATAGTAGCAGTCATTGCGATGATTAAAAAAATCAGAAAATGATGAAACTGGGAAAAGTAATGTTTAAAAATCTAACAACCCCCCCAAAAATTACAGTAGTTGTAACTTGTGTCTAAAGTGCTTTTGTAGTATTACATGCAAGATACAGATTTGTGAAGCTCTAATGTGAGAAAGCCATGCCTCTTCCATTGGTTTTACAGGCAAACTAAAGGAACTTAATGGCAGTGCAACTGAAGAACATAAGCTTACAGAAGATGACTTGATAACCCTAGAAAAGTTATTGTCTGCAACATGTAACACCTCTGCAGAAACACCTACAGCACAGCAACTTCAGACTTTATGGAGAGCAGTTAACTGGCCAGAAGGTAGATACTTGCAATTATTTTTCATACCGTCATCATCAATACTTCACCATGCACCAAAAGTCTTGTTATGCTGGCTGTTACACAGTGTCTGTCGCAAGAGTTTATAACACAAGTAGAAACCAGAAGATGATGAACAGATGCTAATAGCACTGATCAGTAGCAGGGGCAGTGGCGTGAATTGCCAAACTGGTAATTGGTTGTCAGGTTTTGTTGTTGGCACAACAGTAAATGTAAAGGAGAAACCTGATATAAACATCAGTCATGGTTATTTCATTAGCAGGAACATCCTCAAGAAAGAAGTGTGAGGCTTGTTTGGAAATAGAGCAAACTAGTGTGAGGTTGGAGTCCTAAGCTGTTACTAAATCAGAGATGAAATTATGGAGACAAATTATTAAAAAAATCTCAAAAGAAGCTCTTGTTTAATGTTGTAGAAGAGAAGTTGTTACTGAAGCTAGGTTATGTGGTCAGAACTGCATCAGTGAAATGACATTCTGAATGAATGCAAGTGGAGGTGATATAATTTCATCTGATAATGTACCATTGTCAGCACTAATGGATTGGAAAGGCTATTTTGGTTGTTACTGCACATTCTGGAAAAAAATGGATACATTGCATATACAAATATCTAAACATGCATTTAAAATAAACTTCTTTCTTGAAATTGCAGTTGAAGATTTATTAATGGGAAGAATATTTTTGTATTAAAAATTCATGTTCATTATATAACATCACTTAAACTATGTTTTGCACAGCTGGGAGCTGTTGACGGCTAATGTCTTCATACCTTTCAGGCTCTTTGTACTGGACAAAGCATTAATTCTCAAGATTCTGCATATCTACAGGAAAAACTTCTCAATAAATAGCTAAGCAGGTTCAGCTTTGATTTGGTTATAAGTATGGGATACTGATATTATACCCAAGGAGCCAGATATATTTGAAATTTGGGAAAGTGGAGGGGAACTACTGAATGAACTCTCAGTTCAGTTTCCTTACAGTGATTTTCAACTGATCAGTTGAGGACATTTTTTTTTCTTTTTTTCAATTTTCAAATCATGTCTGAGAGTTGAAGGTAGTCTAAATTTTTTTTTTCTAATTTTTCTTTCTCTAAGCAATTTTGTAGCTATAATAAACTGTAAGATATGGAATTCGGACAAAGGGAGATGCTGCCTGTGTAGGGGCGTTCAGCCACTGAGAAGCTTTCAGAGACCTTTTTTGGATTAGTTACCATGGTTTGTGTTGCCTTCAGTGTTATCAGTTAGAGCTTTTAGGAAAGATTGTAAGATTTTTTTTTTTTTTTTTTTTTTTGCAAAGCACTGTGTTTATCCTAAATTCAGGTGTATGGTTTTTGTAATTAACTGAAGTGTTACTAGAATGGGTTTGTCAATACTTGTCTTTAGGAATTTCAAACAACTTGTGCTTTACCTGAATCTCTTTCTGCAGGATACTGTTACTGTCTGTTCCCAAAGCTAGGGGTTTAAGAAGGTCTGTATCTGAAAGAAACTCACCAGCACATTTGCACATAATGCAATATTAATACTAAAATATCTTTTTGTTTTGTTTCTTAGATATTGTCTTTCCAGCCCTAGACATTCTCAGACTGTCTATCAGGCATCCCACTGTGAATGAGAACTTCTGCAGTGAAAAGGATCATGTACAATTTATCATCCTTCTCCTTAAATTTCTGAACCCCAAAGGAAAGCAAGCAAACCAGCTGTTGGCGCTTAGAGCTCTTTGCAATTGTTTTGTCAGCCCGGCAGGCCAGAAGCTTATGATGAAACAAAGGGATGAAATAATGACACAAGCAATAGAAATGAAATCAGGCAATAATAAGAACATCCACATTGCGCTTGCCACGCTGACATTGAACTATGCTGTGTGTTTACTTAAAGTCAACAACATTGAGGGCAAAGCTCAATGTTTGTCAGTAATCAGCACAATTATGGAAGTTGTTCAAGATCTTGAAGCCATTTTTAGACTGCTTGTGGCTCTTGGGACGCTAATCAGTGACGATACCAATGCTGTGCAATTAGCTAAGTCTCTTGGAGTTGACTCTCAAATAAAAAAGTATGCCTCTGTATCAGAACCAGCTAAAGTAAAGGAATGCTGTAGGTTTGTTCTTAATCTGCTGTAATTGTTTTTTTAGCACTTGGGAGACAGTGTATGCAGAAAAAAAAGATGCTTTTATTCATATTTTATGACAGACTATAATTGAGAAAATACTGTGGATTAATTACACATGATACAGATCAAATAAAACTTTTTACATTGTTTGTCATTTGACTGCTTTTCTGAAGTCTGTAGTGCACAGGATCTTTGCAAGAAGTCCTTCTGACATAGCTCAGATCAAAATAGATCACCAAGAAGTCAAATAATCTCAGTACTTAAAGGGTCATCTAGATGGAAATGTAGGAAGCAGTTGATTCAGTGACTGTCAACTCTGACACCCTCACCAGCCACATTTCTACGTTTCAGCAAAATGAGTCTTTCTTGACCATGCTTTTTGTCAGTAGAGAAGGGGCCCTGAGAACTGTTAAGTTCAATGATGCTTTTCACGAGCTTGTTAGTTAACATTGCTTAATATTAACTCTTGTCAAATATCCTGGTAGGGAAACAGCGTTTACTTAAAATTTTCTGTCAGCTTTTTTCCCCACTTCCTTTTTGAAACCTAGCTGTTTTATGGCTCTTACTGTTTTTAACCTAGAACTTAGGTGACTTTTTGAGGGGTAGAATCTTTAACTGCCATATAGATGTCGTGCTTCACTGATAAGCGAGTATCTTGTAGCTTGTAAAATGGCTTGAACTTCTACAAAAGCTTTTACATGACTTTTAACTTTTAATGACAGGAAGAACACTCCATCAGTTGATAGGAAGTGTCTTACTCTGAAGTATGTCGTAAAATATTAGATGATTCTAAAAACAAGTAATTTTGAAGAGTGGGAGAGAAATTTACATGCAGAGAACAGACTGAGCAGCTGAAACTGGAAGAGGCTTCCTAGGGAGATGGTCAGTGCCCCATGCCTGTCAGTGTTTAAGAGGCATTTGGACAATCCCCTTAATAATATGCTTTAACTTTTGGTCAACCCTGAAGTGGTCAGGCAGTTGGGCTAGATGATCCCATACAACTGAAATATTCTATTCTAAACTGTCTAAACATAAAGTCAAGTTTTATGAAGTAGCTTTAACATAACTGGGTGACTGCAAAAAGGGAAAATAATATTTTGCAGCTAATCCAGTAGATCCAAGATGTTCAGCTCAACAGGGGAATATTGTTTCCTATGACTCCTGCAATTGTTACACTTTGATTTAGACTTAAGATGAAGTCAAGATGATCAATGTTCAAGTTACATTTTTCATTAGACTAACAGAATAGAAAATAAGAAAAAAAAATGGGCAAGCTTTTCTGGCACGTGAGTTCATCATCACATGATACCCATCTGTGTCAGATGTGAAGGATTTTGTGACCAAGACCTCTTAACTCTTTTTGCTCCATCTGACTGAACTGTCTGAATTACTACATTACTTCCAGCAAACCCTGTTTCTCTGATCCTTAGTTGCACACTTGTACTGTTACACTTCAGATGAACTTTGAGATACATATCCTCACAGTCTTGATTATGGCCTTAGTCACAGGTTTTCTCATTTGATCCATTGCAGGTTCATGTATAAGGCAGTCCAACAGGTTATTCAGGATTTACAGTGCTTAACAACAGATCAACCCCTTCCTGAGAAAACATCTAAGAAGCTACCTTTAGGAAACATGTCTGTGAAATAATGTGCCTGTCTGTTGAATTTTGGTTGCCTACTATACAATTGTTCTTGAAGCTTTAGCTTTTTAATGTTGTGCTCTTTAACTGTGTTTGTACATGTGCTATTTTAAGACATTTATACTCGCCTGACATTTTGGTTTTGTTACTGTGGGATTGCTTTGTTACAGATTACCTCTTTACGTGAAAATTGTCATGAATTTCCCAGACCAAAAATTAATGTTTAAATTAATAAACATACTCTGGTAACTCCAAGAAATGGTATATTAAGAGATTACAAAATTTACTTACATTTGCAGGTAAATGATGGGGCACAGCAAAAAATACTTCATTTGGGGACTGCAGCACTACATGTTAGGCAAGATACACAAAGCAGGCCAGGAATATTTGGGTAGAAAGACAGCTGCTGCTACAGGGTACTATGATACCTGACCATTCCATGATGTAGCGTTGTCTGAGCGAACAGAGGGCGTGGGGGACATCGGATTCCATCCCCACAGGAATTGTCCTTGGAGGGTCTCTCCCCATAGAGACATGCAGTGCCGGCACAGGCAATGGAGGTAATGTGTAAAGGAGGTAAAGAAAAAAAAAGTTCAACACATAGCAAGATCTTAAAACAAGTTGGGGTTTTTTTTTTTTTTTAATTGACACAAGCATCTTGGCATTCTTAGGCTGTCATGCATTTGTGCAGTAGCTTTCAGTAAGGATTTTCCCAACCTAGCAAAACTATGTTGCTAACACAGGTTGAGTGTGAAAAAGGGAGAAACATCTTTCACAATGCAGTGGATGTTTTTTTTCTGTCTTCTGACATAAAACAACTAAATATCCTCTTTTTGTCAGTATTTTGAAAATGTGTAATTGCTATTGCTCATTTTAAATGACACTGTTCTAAAACTCTGTTATGGTACACGTTGAGCATGTGTGTACATAAACACACAGATATATTTGTGTACTACAAAATCTGCTGCTGAGATCACCAACAACTAGAAAACCTTAAGGATGTCACCAGGATGAAGTTTCTGTTTCAGTGAAAGGATGTTAAATCTATGCCTGGGAAACATGCCAGGTGGGTCGATGGGGTACAATCTTTTGAGATCAGAGATGTAGAAAACAATTATATGCCTAGCACAGAACTCAGAGCTGGCTTGCTATCTACAGCAATAAACCTCAAATACATTGATCTGAGTGCTAAGTGCTCCCGATTCATCAGGGAAATAGTAAAAGCATGTTAGAGATTTCAAGACTCCCTTGAAGAGAAATTGTGTCTTCTGCTAAGAATTCAAAGCTGCTCAGTAGATAATACAATTCTTTTTTTGGCATCTTTTTCTAAGCTAGAATGGAAGCCCTTAGAAAGAACAGCAAACAGCATGTAGTAGCACTTCACATTAAACTTTTGTTGTTAAGCCTGCCTTGGGTTTTATGAAGTGCAAGTACTTGGGATCTACTTACACCAGAACTCAGCATACAATATAAAATGCCTTACTAGGGAACTGAATGAGGGATCAAAACTGACTTAAGTCAGCACGAACTGCTGTACTTGCCAAGACAAATGGAGACTATAGTCACATAACCTGGGTCACATGAATCACAAGATTTCTGTAATGTTTATTATTATGATGTACCTTGCTCTCATCAGGCCCTGACCTTAAGCAGACTTAAGGAACTACCGAGTCATGTTCAGGTTGCAGACAGAAAAAGACTAACTTCAGTCTGCAAACCTATTTCATTAAAAGCACTGTACATTGAGCTATACATTCATGAATCGTTGGATGCAGTCACTTCTCTATAACGTACTATGCTAAAGTAATCTACTAAGGAAGAGCAGTCACATAGATCAGTACTAAAGAGGTAAGTGTAAATGCTTTAGGAAATGTTATAACCTTCTGGTTCCAAGCGTGTGAAGTTTTTTTGTTTAAAGAACAGATGGTACTTAGGTAGAAGGGATACTTCTAACCTTTTTGAAAACACAATGTCAGCTACTGTGTTACCTGTCTGGCCGCTGCGCTTTTGATCACCGCTAGCTTTCTACAACTTGCATTCGGTGGACCTCTACCTAAATGGGTTAGTACCACCAATGCTGTTTGAAGACCCAGCACAACATGGAATATATCAAACTGGAAGGCAACATGTTTGAATCTGGGAAAAAAAAACCCAGACCCAGAAGAAAGACAAATGGACACTGTGGTGCATTAAATAAAGAAGAAAATTGTTGCATATCTCTGTACAGAAAAGGAGGTTCTTCATACAGATTCTTTCTGTGTAATGATGGGCACTTGTTTACCCTGGTGTTTATTTTCGGCTAACTCTCCTCTTTAATTGGCATTTCCCTCTGTCGTTAATCTTGGTGTTGCTGGCTGAAGGCTGATCAGCGTCTTACTGAATTGTGCAGTGCCTTTAACGGGCTCCTCTGCCGTGATTCCTACTTCTTTGCACCCCATGAAAAATTTGCATCCCATGAAAACTAGTGCGTGTCACACTTATGCAATACTCATGAAATAACACAGGAAAGCTGTGATTTCCTGTTGACATTAGCATTCACTGGGATATGGATGTTTGATTTTTTGTTATGGATATTTTCATGCTTGCACCATTCCTAATGGAGCATGTCTCTAGAAGACAGCAATACATCCACCAAATCATTAAGGACAAATTTCTGGGGCAAAATGTTACCCGAGAACCAAGTTAAGGTGTTTACTGTGATGTGTAACCTGTTGCTTAAAGCTTCATTCATACCAGGGGCTCAGAACAGCAGCTGTAACGATTTTTAAGCATGTCTGAGAGGAGACTCTCCGGGACAAGAGAGAATTAAGTCGAATGTCTCTCTGCTGGGCAGACTATGTGGACTACAGCAAAGACTAGAACGAGACTAGTCAAATCAGCATTAAAGATTCCCTCCACCTCACCCTCGCTCCGGCAGAACATCTTACAGATCTATTCAGATGTTTTGCAGGTGCCGCTGAGCACAAAGGCAGTGTTACCTGGATAACGCAGTCTGCTGGGATTTCACGTCCTCTACTTCGGACAGGCTCTCTGGTTCCGAAGAGCTGCCAAGGGCAGAGAATGGAGGCCCTCACGTTGTCGAAACCGGCTGAGAGCCAGGGAAAGCCGGTCAGGATTAAGCAGTAATTGCGGAGGATCACGGGTGGATTGCCTACGTCCGGCAAGAGTCTCATTCCCACCTCGCTACCCGAGGAGAAACCCGCAGCAGAAGTACGGCAGCATCCCGAGACCGCTCCGAACGCAGCAGGCGGGACGCCCAGCTGCGGAGCGGCTGCCGCCGACAGCCGCAGCCGGAGCCCGAGGCGGGGGAGCGGCTCGGCAGACTCCGGCCGGTCAGCGGCGCCTCGCAAGACTCCCGGGGGGC